AAACAGGACAAAGATAGACTGTCGGTGTTTGAACATCGCTGTCTACGCAGCATTGCAGTAATCGGGTACTCTTGCGAAAAGTTTTTGGCAACCACGGTCGCCCACCGTAGCAAGTGGTCGACTTCCATAGATTACGTTGGTTGAGGCATGTGCTACGCATGTCACCAGATAGGTCACCACGGCGAATGATATTTGCCAATTCAGAAAGTGGGTGGGGCAAAGTCAAGGGTGGCCAAGCTAAGACATGGCATGATTGTATGAAAACGCCAACCAGGAGTCTGGGTCACGTAGGTCTTGTTAGGCTCCATGGATGGGGACCTGTCGATGGTTAGAGACACGGAGTGATATCGCTGGGTGCCGTAAACAGTGGCGTTCTTGCATCTTCTCAATTTCTTTGTAATCGTACACCTCTTTTCGAGTCTAACGTATGTTCCCTTTCTTCTGTTGTTCATCCAAATGGGCAGCGAAAATAGAGCATGTGTCATTTGGATCGTCAAAAATGTTGGACAATGGCTTTTTACCCTCCCCCCCGCACACTTCTATCTCTTTGGATAGTTTTGTCATTGTATGTCCCTTACAGAGATTTCTTATGCCATGTCAATACCCGCGTTCGTTTCATGCCTTCTAACGACGACCGTGAAACTCGCGCCCATGTGTTCCACAAGTCTGATGTTGTAATATCCTTGATTTAACAGGACTCCAGTGATAATTCCATGGCTTAAGAGAATAATATCTTTCACTTGCGAAGCCAACTGTTACGGTATTTTGTACTTTCATTCCGAACGCAAGGAATATCATATATGATAGTACATTCTGCGCTTGTTGGTTGAGTCTGTGCACTTTTAGTGGCTTAGCGACAATGAATGGTACCAATTACCCCAAATCATTGTGCACATGCTTGTTTTTAATAATTTGTAGACCACGGGTTATTTTGTAATTTGATGTGTTATGACGTGCATCATTGATTTTTCACTACCACTTAGCAACATTGGGGATGGGTTCGGCTAAATACATGCCCGGTTCATTAAAGTGAACAATGTGCAAACTGAAACAATAGACAACAATGATATAGTAGTGAACAGAAGACTCCAGTTTCGGACCAGAGTCACTCTAATTGTCTATTATTGTGCATTGGTATTGCATAACACGACAGTGGAAACCGAAGTTTGAATCATTTTTTTGCCAGAACTTAGTTTGAATAATTTCCCATATGCGTTATAGAGGAGTGTAAATGGAGCTTCTGTTGACGTTTGTCGTAATCAGCATTGGTGTATTCTATTCCACAAACCTGCATCATCCTTCAACTAACTTGATCCAATTTTGTTATCATTACCTTCCTCTGTCACGTGAAAGAAATTAGCGGAGTTGAACAACTACTCGTCTGCCATGGCGGTGGTGTCCGGTCTGCTCGTACAAAGCGTGTATCGATTGTCCGCGACCTGGGCTGCCCTGTCCTCACGTGATCGATCAGCATTCCGAAAATTGGCTGATTTGTTCTCACAAGATCAGAATTTTGTCAATCTGCGCACTGCCATTGACACGGCTCGACTACCGTGTATTCCCTATTTAGGTGAGTGTCAGTCCATTTATTTTCATTCCTTCATCCCCTGTCTGAGGCAAGTGGATGACCTTCCGATGCTCATTGTGACCCAAATTAATGCGAGAACTGACTGCTTAAGAAACGTAGAATGCACAATCATTAAACTTAGAGGTATCATCTTGTTTGTCCAACCAACGATTTAGCCGAATGCGAGAACACCGATTGTTTAAACTGACATTTCTGCGTAACTGAATCCACTAATGGATGTTTTCACACCACACTGAATTGTAGTCCGATTGCAACCACTGTCTTAAATTGCCAAAAGAGCCATCTGTATGTGCTAGAGTACTTCATCCCCAATCGGGGCAGTGGTCAAAATGCAGTTATTGACCTGAGCCTTTTTGTTTCGCTGCTCCCCTAATCACCCAGTTGGAGTTGAAATTAAAGGATTTTCATCAGAACCCATTAGCGACTTTCCGCATATATATGTATATAAGATAATACCGATCCCTCAGAATTGGGTCACAAGGCCAACGTGACCTAACAGGAAATCTCGGAAGCGCTGAACTGAGAATGTGATGTGCAACACACAGTGGTCGATTCCTGTGATTCAAATGTTCTCCCACCGCCTTAGGTTTATTCTGTCATGTATAACTTGACCGCTTGACTATAAGTTATTGAAAAATTGTTTTTCAACATATCTAGGGTCTTCACTGAAGGCTATCCAGGCTGAAGGAGGGAGGGCATATTGAAGCCCAAGCTGGTGGCATTTGTTGATGGTGAGTGGGTTGGCGCATGTCACCAAATAGGTAAATACGACATGTAATGTTTGCTGAGTCACGCAGCGAAAGGAATAAAGTCAAGGGCGGTCAAACTAAGACCTGGCATGAGGATACGACAACCCGTACCAGGAGACTGGGTCATATAGGTCTAATTAGGCTACCTGTATGGGGTCCACGAAATCATGGTATTCGGTGGTTAGAGAGTTATGTGACTGCGTTGCAAACAGTGGCGCTCGCGCATGTACTCTATTCATTCAACCCCAGTGTATGTGAATTTTCTATCTTCTCTCTGACTCAGCTCTTAACATTCCAATCCTCATTCTGTTCTTTTATCCAGATGGGCAGCCAAAAGACAGCAACCAAAACTGGCGCACAAAGGTGCATGGTTGATGGTTGTATAAACTAAAAGTAGTCGGTGTATGAAAATCGTGATCCATTGGGGGGTCGGAGAGGGGCACTCGCGGTTGGATTTGGAGGATAGTCACCATACAGTCTTGTAATATTTGTCTCATTTTGTGGTATAATGATGCAAGGCACACTACCACATACAAATTGGAAATATCCATGTTTTCCTGAGCAGGTGAAGATAAAAGAGTTGAAAAGTTGAGTTTTTTCAAAACTATATAAATGATAGGTTTAAGTAAGAGGGTGCCCAAATAAATGATGAGTTCAAAAATAGGTTTCGGTCCACGTGACAATTAGCTGTTTTGTCCATGAGCTAGACCGGTCTTGTTATTTCCGTTTGCTTTCACCCTTCTAGCCACATTCATTCTCACCGTTGTTTTGTTTTGTTTTTTGTCTTTCGTCACACCACTCACATTTAAATTGTTTCTAGGTTTTGTGACCAGAATAAGTTAGTTCTAGTGCACTGGTTTCGTATTGAATTTGCACGTGATATCTTGGCATTTAGTTGCTATAGCAGTAAGTTACAACGTTTATCTTCACAAAACTCTTGCTCGATCAGCACTGTGCTCACGGAAGTCAGAATGACGTTTGTTTTTTGACCCAGTTACCTTTAGTTCTGAAAATAGTATTGTGTCAAAGTGTGAACTTTGTGTGCGTATCTTTCTTCCTCTCTCCTTTTCACATAATATTCATATCATTCGGAGATTCTATGGCGGCATACTTTTCGCAGCTCTTCCCCGTCACACAATATATTTTACGTCATTGTGCCCGAAATAGTCTGTTTTGGGCATACTCAGTTTATATATCGTTATGTGCTTAGTTTGTGAATTGACCCACTGATCTAGGTTATTAGGATAACAAACCTTTGAACAGATTCGGGCGATCGTATTACTAGTTAAACACTCCAATGTCGTTCTTTTCTGTTGTTATAATTGACGCCGTTACTGTAGCTTTTTACTGTTGCGAGAATTGTGTAACGTCAGATCAATGTTTGAAGCTCGCCTGTGTTGTTGGAGCGGTGTGAGGTTCACCATTGCATCGGTCCGCATTTCGTGTGTTTAGATCCAGTCAACATCCTCGTTGAAATTTCTGGTTTCAACATCTCCTCTGACAGCGGTTTTGTACAATCGTCTATTCGAAGGGAATCGATTATTATTCAGTGCAATGCAATGCTTAACGATCTGCTTTCCTAAGCGATTTCGAAGCCCTCATTTTGAAGCTGTAGCAGGTGTTAACGACGATCGCAACCGAAAGCTCTTAGTCCGCGGTCAACTACGTTCACATATTGCGTTCCGATAATTTTTACAACGCGAACTTTTGATGGGGCTTGAGTTTACTGTTTTGTTTTGACGGTATATTAG